GTTAAAAATATTTTGCATGCTATTTAATGAGTGAGTAAGTCAGATTATATTATTCATATATGCATTATGATTAATAATTTTAGAAATTATAGACTTATTATAAGAATATATAAATATTATTCAGAATATAAAGATTATATATTCATCTTATTAATAATATATATTAATATAGCAGAGTAGTGGATTATAAAATATTTATCAGAAAATAGAAGTAGTAACTTTATCTTGATTTAAATTATTGAGTACTGAATATTACTCTATATTATTATATACTATGATTATTTGATTGAGTTAAAAATTATAAATATTATTTAAGAGATTAATATATTGAGAATATATTTTTATTTATATTAGTATTTAAATAATATTATTTAGCTGATAGAGTCATAAGCTTATTTTATATTTTGAAAAACATATCAAATTTTTTTTCTATGAAAGTATATATCTTTGAGCAAACAGTTGAGTATATAGATAGAAGTAGTTATACTGATATTAGTAAGAATTAATAAGTTAAAACTCTGTAAGATATTGAGATTTTTGTAAATTATTAAAATATGCCTTGTAAGAATATATAAAAAAAGCTTTTTGATATTGTTGATAAGTATTATAAGTCAAGTATAATTCAGGTTTTCTTTCTAATTATATAGTTTAGAAATGAGAGTAATGATAATATTTTTTTATTTTGTTAACATGTTAATTTTTTGAATATAATTATTAAATAGATTTATGAGAGTATTGTAGATTATGATGTTATATTTTTTGAATAAGATATTATGTATATTATATGATTCTGAAGCTTTGTAGGATAAAACTGCTATTAATATACTGGTAAATTTATTAGAAGTTATTGGATTGCAGATAGTAGAAAATGCTGAATTAGGTATGTAATCTTATTATTATTATTATTATTTTAGCATACTATAGTATAATTCTATTCAAGATATAAGAAATTATACTAAATTACAAAATTATAGCTATCCTAGAAACAATTTCCTATTATATAAAATAAACTATTAGAAAAATCTTTTTAAGAAGATATCAATATGATTAGCTATAAATAGGTCAATCTAGAATTAAATTAATATTATGAAGTTATAAAGAGCATTATAAGAAGTTATTAATTATAACTTTTACTTGATAAAGTTAATGTATACTAGTTTAATATATTCTGTTAATGAATAAATATTATTGGTATATAGAGAAAAAGAAAGTTAACATTTGCAGAGATTTGGATCTGTTTATATTCAGAGAATTATATTATAAGAGATGAGAAATATATAACTTAAAGATTTATCTTTAAAGTTGATATCTGTAATGGATAAGCATTTTATTTTGGCTATGATATGTAATTGATATTTAAAAACTAGTTATGCTTAACTAAAGCTAGCATAGCAAGTATATGATACTTATTTGTTATCTATTATAACACATTGCAATATCAAAATTTTATAAGTTGTAACTAGTTGTAACTAGGTAATGCTTTATTTGTTATTATATTGCAACAGTTAAGGAGCTATCTTTATGCTTAACAGTAAGAAAGTCATATAGTTTTCTAGAATTATAAGATGAATTAATATGTGAAAAGAATTGAGATTTGAAGAGTTTTAATTTAAAATAAGAAGATGAGGAGAAAAGAGATAAATATTTATAAAATCAAACTGCCAAGAAGATGAATGATAGAGATTAATAAGAAAAATAGCAGAATATTTGTTGATAAGTTAGATAGTTGTGAATTAATAAGTTATTTATAGATGATTATGAAAATGGTAATATTAGTATATAATAATAAGAATAGACAAGAATGGATAAGAAAGATTAGTTTGTATAAGATGACTGATAAAAGAGTATATAGAAGATATATTGAGTGAAAGTATTCTCAGATGTGACTGATGATTTCAAGATGGAATTGATATCAGGAGCATAGATTACTATTATATAATATTAACTTGTATTTTGAAAGCAGACTGAGAATAGATAGAGAAAAATGATGATTTTTATTATAAAAGTTTGATTAGGAATGTGAGTAAGATTATTCTTGTCTATGTACTTTCAGTAGTAATAGAAAACTTTCTAATTTATTAAAGAAATGAGAGAAGCTGGCAGAAAGTTTTTAATATATATAGATTATTATCATGTGAGAATGTTTTAACTACTGTGAAAGTATTTTATGAAGTGCTAGAGATTGGAATTGATTAAGAGATTCTTGTAAAAGATAGAAAAATATTTAATTAAGAGTAGGTATTAGAGTTTTATTGTGATTGATAACTGAGTGCATCCTTCTTTTGCTAGTCTGTTAGCTGTATAATTACCATGATTACTGGAATGATTTTTTACTTTACTTAGCTTGAGATATATATTTTTTATTTAAATATTATAAGCTAGAATTTCTCATAAGTATCAATATAATTACTAATAGAGCTTTTATTGTAAGAGAATATGTCAGTTAGTAATATTTTTTTGATATTCTTGCATAGTAGCTTGATTATTTATGTGAATAATGATATAACTTTCAGATGATGTATATTCAGATATTATGTAGATTACAAAAATTTCTGTTTTGATAGTAGATAATATCTCTGATATTAAGAAGGAGATAGATGCTAAAGATAACTATGTTATTCATGCTGCACCTACTTTTACTTGTATGATAAGTAAGTTTTGTATTGATCTATCTAAGTAGATTATGAGTGAGTTTAAAAAGTTATTAAGTATAGTGAATACTTGTTATTATAAGATGGCAGATCTATTTGAGTTAGTAAAGTATGATATAATTAAGATTTGAAGAGTTATGAATAGTAATATTAATGCTAACTGATATTAATTGAAAATATATTGACTGATTATATTTTGTAAGATTATTTATTTAAGTATAGTAAACTATTTGAATTTTACTCTATGTGCTTTTTATCTGAATCATTTTTTATATTATTTTCATGTAATAAGATATATTTTATTATATTTGATAAGTTATTTAAGGAATATTACTTTGTCTTTTTTTAAAATTATATGATATTTAATGTATAGAGATCAAAATTTGATGATATTATAAAAAGAATTATCTATATAAGAGGATTATGATAATAATTATTATATGATATTGAAAGTAATAAAACTAATATTAGTTTCTGCTATTAAAAAAAGAATATTTGCAATAAGATTTTTATCAGAAGAGAAGTATTCAAGTATTAAAGTTGACAAAACTGAGTGTGAGAGTTATTTTTATTCTTATAGATCCCATAGCTGAATTTGAATAATTTAATCAAGTAAATCTGTATTATTAATATGATATATAAGTTATTAATCTTGTACTATGATTATAATTCTTATATATTTATTAGATTAAAATAGTTTTGGTTATATAGAAGAGTATCAGATATATCTTATGCTATACCTGCTTTGATTTTGAATAATTTTTTATAGTAATATATTATAAATGAGCAAAATATTTTGAAAAAAATTATAAGTTATGATTTATATTCTATAACTAGAAAAAGGATACTATTAATAATATATATAACTTGCTGATGATTGAGTTTTTTACATATTAGTATATATGATATATATTATATATTTTGCTTAATAACTTGCTATTATTTTTGGAATTTATCATCTTTACTAATTTAGAAATCTAGATATTTTATACTTTTTAAGAATTATAAAATTTTTAAGGATGCATATTTATTTTTAAAATGCAGAATTGATATTGAAGAATTTGGATTTGTGTTAAGATAAAGTGTTTCTATTTTTGAAGTATTAATATTGATATCACATATTTTATAGAATTAGGTAATTGAGTTGAAAATATTTTACATGCTGTTTGGTAAGTGAGTAAGGCAAATTATGTTATCTATATATATATTATGATTAATAATTTTAAAAATTAAAAACTAATTAAGAGAATATATGAATAATATCCAGAATATAAAGATTATATATTTATCTTATTAATAATATGTATTAATATAGTAAAGTAGAGAATCATAAAATATATGTTAGAGAATAAGAGCATTAACTTTATTTTGATCTAAACTATTAAGTACTGGATATCATTCTGTATTACTATATATGATAATTACTTGATTAAAATAGGAATTATGAATATTATTTAAAAGATTAGTATATTAAGAATGTATTTTTATTTATATTAATACTTTAGATAGTATTATTTAGCTAATAAAATTGTAAGTTTATTTCATATTTTGAAAAATATATCAGATTTCTTTTTTATAAGAATATGCATTTTTGAATAGATTGTTAAGTATGTGAATAGAGATAATTGTACTAGTATCAGAAAGAATTAATAAATTAAAACTCTATAAGATATTAAGATTTTTGTAAATTATTAAAATATGACTTATAAGAATACAAGAGAAGATTTTTCTGATATTATTAATAAGTATTATAGGTTATGTAAAATCTAAATTTCCTTCCTAGTTATATAGTTTAGAGATAAGAGTGATAATAATATTTTTTATTCTGTTAGTATATCTACTTTTTATATATAGTTATTAAATAAGTTAATAAGAGTATTATAAATCATGAGATCATATTTTTTAAATAGAATATTATATATATTATCTAAATCTAGAGCTTTAAAAGAGAAAGCCACTGTAAGAATTATTATTATTATTATTATTATTATTATTATTATTATTATTATTATTATTATTATTATAAAATTACAGTATAGTCTTACCTCTCATCTATGTTAATTCTATACTATATTAGTTTTTTATTATTATTATTATTATTATTATTATTATTAGTATTATTAGTATTATTAGTATTATTATTTAAATAATATAATTTTTTATATAATTTTATTAATATAAAATTATCATTATTATGATTATTATAAGAAAAAGAATTATAATTTCTTTTATATTTTTATATATAATTATTATTTTTAAGTAAATATTCTATTTTAAATATAATTATATTATATTAAATAGTAAATTTTTAAATAATATTAAAGATATTAAAAACTTAATATAAGATTTTTATCTTAATAATAGACTTGAATCTATTAATAAAATAGTTAATTTATTTTAATTTTCTTATATTTTTAATTTATCCTATAAGATTTCTAAACTTAACTTTAGATTTTTTAATTTGATAAAATTAATAAAGTTAATAATAGAAATATTATTAATAATTTAATAATTATAATATATTATAAATTTTAATTAAAAAGATATTTTAATTATTAAAAATAAAATTAATATATATATTCTTATAATATATGAAATAATAAAAATAAAAATATTTTTTTGAAATTTAATATTTAAAATCTAGTAATTTTATTTAAATAAAAATATTATTATAAGATTTATTCTAATTTTATAAATCTTATAGTAATAACCTTATTTAAATATAATTACTAGATTTTAAGATATTAAATTTCAAATTGATATTTTTATTTTTATTATTTTTGATAATATATTATGTATGTAAATTAAATTATTATTATTACTAATTAGAATTTAAATTAATATTATGTTTATAATTATTTTTGATAGAACAAATATATTATTTATTCTTTTAATTTATAATTTCATAATAATTAAGATTTTTTTATTTCAAAAAAGATATTTTTACTTTGAAAAATATTATATGATTTTTACTAAAAATTCTTAATAAATTATCTTGAAAAATAATCATAATAAATTTCTAAATTATTAGTTTAAAGACTTATTAAATTTAAAATAAAAGTTCTTTATTCTTTAATTAATCAATTAGTAATTATTATACTATTTTAATTATTTAATATAAAGAATAATTTTTATTTTAAATAATTACTTTGATAATAAAATTAAATATTATGAGATATATATAATTAATTTGAAAAGTTCTTATATTATTTAATAAAATAAATTTATTTATTATATTACTTTAATTATTTTGATATAAAGGATTTTTGGTTATAGAAATATACAATAACTATCAAAAGTTTTGTATTATACAAATAAAAAAAATAAAAAATACAATATTTATAATTCATATATTATTTATATATAAAATTAAGTATTTAAAAAGAAGAATCTTAATTATCTTTAAACTCAATATAAATTATAATATTATATTCATCATGATTTTGTATTTATTTCTTTTCAAAAGTAATAATGTATTACTTTTAATTAATAATCTATTTAAATTTAAGACTATATAAAATATATAAATTTCATAAAATCTTATTTTATATGCTATATAAAAATTATATCTACAAATATGATCTTTTATTTTTCTTAAAAAAATAATAATTAAATCAATTTGAAGTATAATTATTATTGAATAAAAATCACAAATCTGCACCCTTCTTGATGAAAAATTTTCATATAATATTGCATCAAAAAAAATATCATGCAATCTTATATTATTCATCTTAAAAAAACTCAAAATAACTAGTTCTATAAAAGATTTACCAAAATCTGGTCATTCTCAAATTTTAACCAAACATGATGAACATAATATTATATGATTTATTTCAAGTGGTAAATATTTAAATACTATGAAAATTCAAAAAAAAAATTAAAAATAATAATAAAATTAACATAAGTGAGAATACTATAAGAAGAACTTTATGTAAACATGGTTTATCTGCAAGAGCTAAATGAAAGAAGTCTTATTTAAGTAAAAAACATTGAAAATTACATTAAAATTTGCAAAAGAACATAAAGATTGGCAAATAGAATGTTTTGTCAGATGAGTCAAAATTTATATTATTTGGATCAAATGATCATGAGTATTATTGGAAATATAAAAATGAACCTCTTAATTACCACCTTGTAAAATCTACAGTTAAATTGGTGGTATGATTTGGGGTTGTTTTTCTTCTTTTGGGGTTGGAAATATCATATGCATTCATAAATTAAACATTATATCAAGAAATATTAATGGATGACTTATTGGGAATCATCGAGTATAATGAATTGGATAAAAATAATATTATTTTTATGCAAGATAATGATCTGAAACATGTGGCTAATAAAATGATGATGATAACGGGATTAATGTAATGGAATGGCCGCCTCAATCCGCCGATTTAAATCCAATCAAACTTCTCTGGAATGAGATGGATAGGTGCCTGAAACAATTGGACATCCCAATCAATAGTGGGACGCTATTCAACAAATTTGGATTACAATGGATAATGAATTTATAACTCGGCAAATTGAAAGTATGACTGAGCGAATGGATAATGTAATTAATGCTAAAGGAGGGTATACTAGGTGGTAAAGAACGTTTTGTTTAAATTTTATTAAATTTTATTTGTTAGTTATTTGGCAATGTGTTTTAATTTTTGTTTTAATCAATCAAAAGAAACGCATCACGTAAAATTGCGTAAATTTCTTTTTTGGTTACATGTATTACGATAATAATTACCAATATGATTTATCCCCGTATGTTTATAAGATTCGCCGATTGAATTTAAGGTATGCGCGCAAAGTTATTAAAGTTTTAAATTTGTCGTTTGGATGATGCAAAACATTTGGCAGCCACTGTACATGACCATTGATTGATTCCTAAATAACCATCTTTTTCTAAAAAAAACCCCCTCAGTATTATTTCTTTTTGGATCGCAAATCTGGAACTAACCTCCTCGTGGTGCGATGGATATCATTGAATTGATAACTAATAAGTTCCAATATCTAAAACCCGAATGATGAAACCATTCATTCATTAATCCAGGAGCAAATCGTAGGAGTAAATACCTAAAAAGACGAAGCAATCACGTCATTTACTTGCATACTATTGCATTTAAATAAAGGAGAGAACTTACGGTGATGTTCAATATCCCGATAACTACATCAAACAATTGTACATGTATTTTATTTGCTGCAAAAACGTACCACCTTTTCCTTTTTAGGTTGAATGAATGGATCCCGGGTGGTTTATGCGGCGACGACGACATTATAAATAATTACAGTGCTCCGCAGAAGTATCCTACCCCAACTTTTCGTAGATCATGTATAGTGCACCAAATTTTTCCGAGAACAAAGAACATTAAAAATGCTGAACATGATACCTTTTATAGATCGGTAGAGCATCTATATCAGGTATTGTCTGTTCATAAATTTTCACGTCCCAAATATAATCAGTTATTTCATAACACACATCTCAATATTCAATAATCACGTCCAGTGACGAGATTTGAACAAAAATACAACCATTTGATTCGTCTAGTCAAGGCGAATCAAAAGTATTATTTTTTGTTCAAATTGGGTCACAGGACGTCGAAATATTGCGTCTTAAAGTAGCGGATTCATTTTTTTTGACACTAACCAAAATGAATCGGTCAATTTACGACGTAATATCTTGATCTCCAGTGACCCGATTCGAACAAAAATAATACCATTCGATTCGTCTTGACTAGACAAATCGAATGGTATTATTTTTGTTTGAATCGGATCACTGGAGATCAAGATATTACGTCCAATTCATTTTTTTGGCGATCAATTTCTAATAAAAATTGATCGAAAAATATGAATCATCTCGATGTCTAGTGGTTCCAATTTGAGTGAAAATACCCACCATTCGATTTGCCTAGATTATGGTATTATGTCTCACTCAAATTGGATTACTAGAAGATATTATGTCCTAATGTGACCGGTTTACTGTATTTGGGCATGAAAGTTTATGAACATACGATACTATCATGATCAGCATTTGTAATGTTCTTTTGTGCACGGAAAATTTGGTGCATTACACATGATCTATGGAAAGTTAGAAGGGGTCGGATACTTTTGCGGTTGACTGTACATAATGATAAGACTTTTTTTAGACATGTAGAGCTTCAAATTCTATGTGTGACAAACTCGTGTGTGAATATATGTACATCCCGTAACTGGACAACGACTACGATTATTAACCAATTCATTTTATTTCACTGAACTCAAAGATGGAATCAAATACTAACGATGAAAAAAAAGCATTCGAATGGTATTTAAAATCAGCAGAGTCTGGAGATCCTCAGGCACAATTTGCGCTTGCTCT